ATGTCCGTTCCGTCTTTTAGTTGTATTTTTGAAGTGGTTGTTTGCGGCAGCAATCTCCGGTGTTTACCTATGCCGCCATCTTGGTTTCTCTCCACACCTGGGAACCTTAACCCTACCCTAAGCCTAAGCCTAACCCTAACCCTAACCTTAACCCTAAACCTAACCTTAACTCTAACCCTAACCCTAACCCTAAACTAGCCCTACCTCTAACCTTAAACCTAAGCCTAACCCTAGTCATAGCCCCAGCCTAACCTTAAAAATAACCCTAACCTAGATCTAAAACTAACTCTAACCCTATCCTAGCCCTAACCCTAACCCTAACCCTAACCTTAACCCTAACCTTAACACTACTCTGAGCCCTAACCCTATCCCTAACCCTACCCATATCCTAACCCTAACCCTAACCCTACCTCTACCCCTAACCCTGAACCTAACCTTAACCCTAACACTGATGCTACCATAACCCTAAACCTAACCCTAAACTTAACCATAACACTAACCCTAAACTTAACCCAATCCTAGCCTTAACCCTACCCAAATCCTAAACCTAACCCTAACACTAAACCTAGCCCTAGCCCCAAACTTAACTCTAATTATAACCCAAGCCCTAGCCCTACCCATAGCCCTAAACCTCACCCTACCTCTACCCCTAACCATAACCCTAACCCTAAACTTAACCCTAACTCTAAACCTATCCATACACCTAGCCCTAATCCTAACCTGACCCCTAAACCTAACTCTAACCCTAAACTAGCCCTAGCCCTAACCTTAAACCTAACCCTAACCCTACCCCGTAACCTAACCCTAACCCTAAACATAACTCTAACCTTAATCTTAAACCTAACCTTAGGCCTAGCCCTAACCTTAACCCTAACACTACGATAACCATAACCCTAACACTAACCCTACCATAACCATAACCCTAACCCTATCCTAGCCCTAACCTTAACCCTACCCTAACCCGAACCCGAACCCTAGCCCTAGCCCTAAACCTAACCCTAACCATACCCTAGCTGTAACCCTAACCCTATCCTAGTCCTATTTCTAACACTAAACCTAACCCTAACCTTAACTTTAACCCTAATACTAACCCTAGCCCTAGCACTAAACTTAACCCTAACCCTAACCCTACCCAAACCCTAACCCTAAACTTAAACCTAACCCTAACCCTAGCCCTAGCCCTAGCACTAAACTTAACCCTAACCTTAACCCTAACCCCAACCCCAACCCCAACCCACCTGCCTTGGGGGAGGGGAGGGTGGTACAGGGGCCCGGGCTCCCCTGAGGCTCTGGAGATGCTCTGCTCCCTCGTTGGGTATGGGGCCTGGCCTTCCGCCCCCCGAGCTCCTGGCCTCGCAGGGGCCTCGCACGCTGTGCCCACAGGGTAGTGTGAGGCTGTCTGTGGTGTGGCCTGGGCACCTCCCTGGGCCAGGAGCTCCGCTGGGACTGGCTGCCCCTGCACCCCACCTGGACCCTGGGCCCCGCTGGGCAGCCCTGAAGGGACCATTCCCAGCCCCTGTGAGATCAGGGCCACCACCCTCCCTGACCCTGACCCTGACCCCACCAGCTCTGCGGCCTCTGTGCTGTGGGGCAGGGCTGGTGTGGGGTGAACTGCCCAGAGCCGGGAGGCCAGCTGTGCAGGTGAGTGTGGGCAGGAGCAGGAAGCGTGGCCTGCGGTGCGGAGCAGCCTGGGGGGCAGGGCCTCTGTGGAAACGGACAGTGAGGACACCCGACTGGGCCCGGGTCTCGGCACCCCAGGACCGGACGGGGTCTGGGGATAGAACTGGTCGCGAGGCTGGGGCAGCACTGAGCCTTGGAGGCTGGGCCTGCCCCCTGGAGGCATCAGGGAGGCACGCGGGGTCCTGCCAGCTGCTCACTTCCCTTCTCCCTGTTGCAGCCTTTTAAGTAATAACAGATCCAGCGGGAAGATGGCCAGGCAGCGGGGCGGTGCCAAGACTGTTACTCAGCTTGTTAAATTATTAAGTTTGCATTTGAAGTTTCTGGGGAGTCCCAGGTGTTCCAGGAGCCCCTCCCAGGCCCCCCTCAGGGCCTGCACCCCCTGCCTGCCCTCAGGCAGCAGGGTGCCCTGGGGGACGGGAACGCCAGGGAACAGGCAGAGAGCTGGCACCAGATGGCCTCCATGGAGGGAGCTGAGGGGTGCCCAGCAGGGCCTTCCAGAGAGGCGGGGTGGGGGCTGGAGCAGGGAGGGCGGTGGCTGCCTCTGCCTCCAGAGTGACCGTGGGGGGACAG